AGGGAAAGCCAGTCATCTCCACCCCATCCCACCTCCTGCCCGCCTCCGCGCGAATGAGCAGTGCCCGGCTTAACCTGGGCCGACCTTGGGCCCATGTGCAGTGTCCGCATGCCTCGTGTTCGTCTGTCCAAATGTCCGTTTGCGTCGTCCCACTAATGTGAATTTCAGCATCAAGTGTGGTGTTTGTTTTTTATTTTTGTCTTTGTCTCCGTGCCGTTGCTGTCCTTGTCCTTCAATAAGGTTGACTGCATTCAGCCAGTGCCAAAAGAGGAGCCCAGTCTCGCTACCAAATTCCAGTCCATCGGGGTTCAGGTAGAGGACGACTGGCGGTAAGTCGTATGGAGGTGGTGGCTGCTTCTCCCCTCTCCTCTTCCTCCCTCTGCTCTCACCTCCCCTGTGCCTTCTCCTCCTGCTCTCCCTAACCCACTTCTCCTTGCTGAATTTCTAATAACCAAGTTGGGTTTGGGTGTGGGCTGTGGCCCAGGAATGGGAGGCCGGGCAGGCAGGTGGGTGGGTAAATGAGCAGTTGCTCTGTGAGATGAATCAGCCCACAGGGGGCCACAGCTGGGCTGACACGTGAGCTACCCCAATGTTGGTGGTCTTCCTGGCCCCACTGCAGCAAACAGACAACCTTATGACCTTGTCCTTGTGTGTGTATGCGTGTGGGCGTGGGCGGGGCCAGGGCTGAGCAGAGAATGAGACGGGGGCTGTGGGACCCGCTTCAGGCGCATGGTGAGCAGATGATGCATCCGTTTCTCTGTCTCCCGTGTGTCCGGGTTGGGGTGGCCTCTGATCTCTGGCTCTCTTGGTGACTCTTATCTCTTCCTGTCCCCACCCCACTCCACCCCCCACCCACAGAAGCAGCGTCCCCTCTCACAGCATGTCCTCCCGACGGGACACCGACTCAGATACCCAGGATGCCAATGACTCGAGCTGTAAGTCATCTGAAAGAAGCCTCCCAGACTGTACCCCACACCCCAACTCAAACTCCATCAGCATTGATGCCGGCCCTCGGCAGGCCCCCAAGATTGCCCAGATCAAGCGCAACCTCTCCTATGGAGACAACAGCGACCCTGCCCTAGAGGCATCGTCACTGCCCCCACCGGACCCCTGGCTTGAGACTTCCTCCAGCTCCCCCGCAGAGCCAACACAGTCAGGGACCTGCCGCCGAGATGGCTACTGGTTCTTGAAGCTACTGCAGGCAGAAACAGAGCGGCTGGAAGGCTGGTGCTGTCAGATGGACAAGGAGACCAAAGAGAACAACCTCTCTGAAGAAGGTAGGTGCTACAAGGACATTGTCCTGGGTGAGGGGAGAAGGGATGGACACTAGTTCTCCAGCTTCTGACCAGACGGCCTCAAGCCTCCTAGTGGGAAGGGTCCTTCAGGTTCTCTTCCTGCATCAGCTGTGAACTTATCTCTTATTTTTTTCCCCCCATCTATCCATCTACCTAGCCAAATCTTTTTCCAGAGAAGACTTGTGGCCATAGCTGCCAGTTGAGTAGGCTGTGGGGTCAGTCACACCTGGGTTTGAATCCTAGCTCTTTCCTTACTAGGGAAGTGACCTTGTTCAGGTTACTCTGAGCCTGTTTCCTTATGTTATGTAGAGCTAATCCTACTCTCTAGCTGCATAAGCAAGCACATTGTGAGGATTGAATGTGGCAATCAAGTAAAGGACCCAACAAAGTGCTACGGTACCATAATTATGCCTTCAGCAGCTCTGTATGGAGCACCTAGCACAAAGGATCTGTGGGCCTCAACAGGGTTCAAGGAACTATGAATCGGTGAGACAGAAGTCATCCACTTTTCCACTTATGTTTCTATCTATACCATGCCTATTTCTAAATATTCCCCCGAGAAATTAGTTCAAGAAAACTAGAAATATGTAGGGAGCCTAAATTCTCAGGTGGTTAATATATAGGAGAGTGGTGATTTGGAGGCAGGCTCCTGTGGGAAGCTCCAGGCCACAGTGCCAGGAACCACACCTGTATTGGCCTGGTTCAGCCAAGGATGCAGTCTTCAGCCAGCCCCTTGCACAGAAAGTCCAAGAAGACCAGGTCTGCAAAGTATCCAGAGGGTCAGAGCCAGCATCTCACTGACCCCTGATGGGATGGGGCCTGAAGAAGCACCCTCTGATGACTCAAAGAGTGCTTCAGAGTCACTGTTTTCACTGTCCTCTAGGCCAGTTCCTATCTTTTTTTTTTTTAACTAAAGCATTAGAATTCTTAGTTGTTTGTATTGATTTTTAGAAAGAGAGGTAGGGAGATAGAGCTAGAAACATCGATGAGTGAGAAACATCGATCAGCTGCCTCCTGCACACCCCCCACTGGAGATGTGCCCACAACCCAGGTACATGCCCTTGACCAGAATCGAACCTGGGACCCTTCAGTCCACAGGCCGACACTCTATTCACTGAGCCACACCAGTTAGGGCAGCATCTTTGATTCTTAAGAACACCTTCTGTATTCCAAAAGCATAGAGATTTTTTTCATGGTTTCAAAGTTTGTTTTTTGTTGTTGTTGTTTTCTATTGACTTCAGAGAGAGGGAGAGGAAAAGAGAGATAAAAACATCAATGATGAGAGAGAATCATTGATCAGCTACCTCTTGCACGCTCCCTACAGGAAATTGAGCCCACAACTTGGGCATGTGCCCTAAGAATCAAACTGTGTCCTCCTGGTTTTTAAGTCAACACTCAACAGAGTCACACTGGCCAGGCCAAAGTTTGGGGTTTTATTTATTTATTTCTATGTAGGTCTTTAATCCATCTGCAATTTGTATGTGTGCATTCTAGGATCTCATTTTATTTTTTTCATATGGAAAGCCAGCTGTCACCACACTAGTTATTGAAGTCTTTACTTTTCTCACTGGTTAGTAATGCTAGGTCAGTCACAACCTCTGCCAGAGTTTAACATATGCAGGCATGTGTTTCTGGGCTCCATTCTGCTCCTCTGCTCTTTTATCCTTTTCTGTGTTAATACAACTACAGTTACCATAGCTTTGTAACATGACTTGGTATCTAGTAAGGTGAATCCTCCTTCCTTATTCTTTTTGTCCAAAAAAGAAAACTTAAATTACATCTTCACTCATCTAAGACTAATTTTAGAATTAGTATGTCAAGTTCCTCAGAAAAATTTGATTAATATCTCAATGAAAGTCTTAATATATTTTATTAGGTTTATTCCTTAATACTTTTAGTTTTTGTTTTGATAGTAAAATGAAATTTTTTAAATCTTCATCCACAGATATGCTTTTTTATTGATTTTTTTAGAGGGAGAGGTGGGGGTGGGAAACATTGATAAGTTACCTCCCACACCCCAACCAAGGATCAAACCCACAACCTAGATATGAGCCCTGATCGGGAATGGAAACTGCAACCTTTCAGTGCACAGGCTGACAGCCAACAGGGTGCTGCCAGGGCTCATTCTATATAATAAAAGCCGAATATGCAAGTTCTCCCCTCGGGCAGTGGCTCGACCAGGAGTTCAACCAGGAGACGGAGAGTTGGACCGCTCACTATGATGTACGCTGACTACCAGAAGGTGGGGTGGAATATGGCGGGTGTCAGCGGTACTGGCAGTGGGCAGCAGTGGAGGCACTGCCAGTCCCGATGGGCCCCAAGGAAATCGGGACTGCAGCAGGATGGTGGAGCCGGTGAGTGGGCGGCGCCAGGCCAAGGCGGGTACGAGCGGGGCCCAATCACCTGGCCCATCACCTCACAGGTGGCGACCAGCAGCAGCTGTGGGGGGCGGAGCCACCGCCCAGCTCCCAGGTGCTGAGGGAGCTGGGCAGGGGGCCCTGCCACAATTGATTGCCCGCAGGCGGGATGGTGGAACAGGTGAGGGGGCAGTGCCAGGCCAAGGTGGGATGCCAGGCAGGGCTGCAGAGCTGGGAGGCTGGGGGCGTGAGCTGGGGCCCGATCTCCACAGGCCACCCTGAGGGACCCCACCCGTGCACAAATTCGTGTACTAGGCCTCTAGTTTTTAAATATTTATGTATTCCAATTTGTTATTGCTAGTAGATAGAAATGATGTTTGATCCCTGTACGTTGATCTTGTGTCAAGCAGCTTTGAATAATTCTCAGTTCTCTTGGATTCACATCATAAACGATCATAGTGTTTGTTAAAATGGCAATTTTGTGGGTCTCTAATCTTACTGTGTCTCATGCATAGCTTGTCTAACTGCAAGAACTTAAGAACATTGTGAAATAGTAGGGAGAAGTAGCTTCTCTCCTCTGGTCCTAACCTTCATTAATTGAGCAGTTTACTGAATACCTACGATCTGCCAGGCACTGTTCTAGTTTTTGGTGTTTAGTAGTGAACAAAATAAAGTACTGCCCTCATGGAGCTTGCATGGGCGAAGCAGTGTTGCTGTTTCATTTAGGGAGGTCGGAGACAGGCCTCCCTGGTAAGGTGATTGCAGCAGAAACCTGAAGGGGAAGAGGTCTTAGAGATCTGAAGATCAGATGTAATTGCAGGGGCAGAGAATCCTATTGTGGGCAAATGATGGACATGTTCCAGGCCTAGGGAAGGTGGCCAGTGTGGCTGCAGCAGTGAGCAGGAGTGACTGGTGAGGTGGAAAAAGGCAATTAGAACCCAACTGAATGAGGGTTTTAAAAGGTCAACTGTGTGCTGCTGGTGCTGAGGGGCATCACTGCAGAGTGAGAAAGTGGGAGGAGGCTTAGGAGAAATCTATGTGAGGAGAAATCTGAAATGGTCCTCCGAAGAGTGCAGGGGCACTGAGGGAAGGTTGCAGAGGGAGAACTGGAGTGGGGCAGGGTTAAAACTGGAAAGGTTCATCTTTCCTTCTTTCCCTTTGACTGCTTTTTAAGAGTTCCTCTTTGTCTTTGGTTTTACTGTAAATAAGTGTGGATTTGCTTTGAATTCATTTGAATTTCAGACTCTGAGGACTGGTGTCAGCCATTTCTGGAAAATCCTAAATCATGATCTCTTTGAATATTTTTCTTCCATTCTCTCTATTCTCTTTTTTTAGAATGCTGATATTCTCCCTCTCTCTTCCAGGCCTCTCAATTACTTTCTTCATTATAGTTTCTCTTTAATACATGTAACTTTTATTTCTTAAAAAATAAGGTACCCCGCCCTAACCAGTTTGGCTGTGTGGATAGAGCATCGGCCTGCAGACTAAAGGGCCCCAGGTTCGATTCCGGTCAAGGGGCATGTACCTTGGTTGCAGGCACATCCCCAGTAGGGAGTGTGCAGGAAGCAGCTGATCGATGTTTCTCTCATCAATGTTTCTAACTCTCTATCCTTTCCTCTCTGTAAAAAAATCAATAAAATATACATATTTTTAAAAATAAGGAACCCAAATGCAGTCTTATGGTTAGGAATTCAAGACTTTTTTTTGTATTCCCACTCTACTTTAGACCAAGCCCGGCACATCCTGCTATCTCCGGCAAGGGGGAGGGATACTCATTTTATTTTCAGCAGCTTAGCTATTCATTTAATCAAGCAGTTTGAGTGTTTTGCATTGTTTACCTTGGCCTATCTGGTTTTCAGCAGGGTTTATTCATGTGCTGCTTGTAGCGTAGCCCTTGTTTCTGTGATGACCTAGTTCCAGAGCTCACGTTTTATCTCTTTCTATTGTCTTGCATCTGTTGGGAGCACCCCAATCTCTACTTTGAACTACTATTTTCACATACATAGAACTAAATGTCATATTTTTCATCTACTCCCTGGCAACAATTTTCTGGTGAATGTTCATTTGCCACTTGCTGTTCCTATAATACCTCTGTTTAGCTCTTGTGTTGGTTCCTCTTGTCATTAGCTCATTATGGGAGGGCTGCTTACCATGCAAAGACCTCCCCTGCCTGGGTGCTGAACCAGGTTCAGGAAAGCCCTGCTACAGTCCACATCCCCTTTCATTTTAAATAAGAGATTATTGGCCTCTCCTCTCAAGGTGTGCTACTTTGGAGAACTCAGAACTGTCACTGATATCTGAGACCTTCAACCTCAAGACCTGTCCCTGTGTGGCTACCAGTGCATGGTCATGTGGCAGCAGTTCACATTGTGCTCCAGGTTCTATCTGATACGATTTGCATTTCCACTTCTTGTTTACTCTGTTTTGCTTTTCAGGGATTTCTGAGATGAATGGGAGGTAGTATTTCTTTAGACCACCACTTTAAAAGATCAACCTGTACTCCTGGCTAACTCTTCTTTTGGGAGTCTGTTTGCTTATATCTTATTTAAAACTTTTACATTTATGTTCATAATGAAAGTGATCGGTTCTTGGCATGTCCTATCTGCTGTCAGGGCTCCTGAAATTAGTTGTGTCATTTTCTATCTTTACTTACTCTTTGGAAGAGTTTGAATATAAGACGGGGATTATCTGTTCCTTGAAGGTTTTGTAAAACCTCATCTGTAGCCCTAGCCAGTTTGGCTCAGTGGATAGAGCGTCAGACTACAGACTAAAGGGTCCCAGGTTCGATACCGGTCAAGGGCACGTTCCTGAGTTGCAGGCTCAATCCCCAGTAGGGGGCGTGCAGGAGGGAGCCGATCAATGATTCTCTCTCATCATTGTTTCTATCTCTCCCTCTCCCTTCCTCTCTGAAATCAATAAAAATATATTTTTAAAAAACAACAAAAACCTCATCTGTAAAACTATATAGGCCTGGTTTCTTTTTCTGGAAAGATTAAGTTCCGCTTCACTGTTTGTGTTTTTTTGCTTCACTTTTTATTTAT